TTTTCTCTACAGCCCAAGTCAGATGCCAAGTAAGATTTCCATTTTTCTTTCCTAGTTCCTTCCTTTTCTTTCTCCTTTTCCTCCCCTCTTCTCCCCTCCCTTCTCCTTCCTTTCTTTCCCTTTCCCTCCCCTTCCCTTTCTTCTTGTCTCTGCCATCCTTGGGGGTCAGTTTCCTGCTCTTCATTTTGGGCTCAATGATTTCCCTAAAATCACTTTTCCTTTTCCGGCCACTCAGATTTCATCTCCCCCCTATCTTTATGTTCCTCCCTGCGCCATCCTAGCCTGTCAGGGCTCTGAGTAGCGGCACAGATGAGCTTCTCCCTGAGTCACAGGAATCTTTTTTCTGTTAGCCTCACCATTCATCGCCTGGCTGCCAAGTCCTTCATCCAGACCAAGGACATGGGCTTCGAGGAGACTCCAGCAAATGATAAAAAAGAGGTGCTGAAAATAAGCATGGAGTGCGGCGTCATAAGCTCCCACACGGCTTTCATTGCCATCAACAAGGATCTCAACAAGCCGCTTCAGGGACCCCTGACTCGCAGTGACGTTCCAAGTCCAATGCTATTTTCTACAGAGGATTATGATTCTGTTGATATGTCTTGTAAATCTGCTTCGATGGCTGATGCTTCTGTTTCGAAATTATGGAAATGTGGAGGTGGTGAGTTTTATTCTAACCAAACTCACATAAAATAAGGGGCCCTGTATACCTGGATACATCATTTAAAGCAAATATTTATGAAAAGTCCTTCCCTCCCCACCTGCCTTTTCTCTCCACATCTAGAATCTCTGGCTGTTGTAAAACATTTCTGTCCTTGAAAATTAGAAATTACACCATTAGCAAGAAAATGTAAAGTACTCCAAGGGGGGAAAATGAGGGAAATGAAAGAGAAAGTGCATATAAGCATTGAGTAGTTACACTGCCTAAATCTGAAGCTGAGGTATCCTATTGATACTGGTTAATGATTACACAAATGGCGGGCAAACAACCTGGTAGTGTTAGGAAATGGGTGCTGATTGCTGGGCTGTCTCAGACTTAAACCAGAACTGGAGAGACAAATGCTCAGGGAGACAGAGCTTTTGTCAAGGAATGTTGAAGGGCCAATCAGCTGCAAGGACTGGCGGAGATCACCATGGAGGATCAGCTATGCAGTGACCCACTTCACAGAACAGGACTTGCTTCAACGAGGCTCTGGTACCGCTGAGTCCACCCCATGAGTACGTCGCTTGTGGAGGTGGTGGGTGGTGATACTTTGACATGGTCTGAAGCTGTCCACTGGGTGCACTGGCTCTGGGGACTCCTGGGAGATTCAGGCCAAGGTCAGCCACTGCCTTTGTTCTGCCCCAGGGGACACCCAGCATGAGCTACAAAATGATCTGCAGATGGCTGCTACTTGTGTTGAGCTTGAAGGTGGTGCCTAGGAGCCAAGCTACAAACCAAGGCTGGCTGTGGCTAGTGCCGGGCCCAGGGTCACTTGGCAACAGGTACCAGGCCAGATGCTGCTTATTTGAGAGATTTTTGGAAAATATGAAGCATGAGCCAAGACAGGCCATTCTGATGGTAAAGCCACTAGAAACAGCTGGTGTGGACAGGGCCTCCGGGAATCACCAGGGTGGGGCTAACAGTGTTAATCCAGGTTGATGGAGACTCAGATATGGTGGCCACCTGCTGGCTCTTTGGGGGAAGGTTCAGCAAAGTAACAATGGCCTCTACCAGTACTTCTGTCTGGAAGAAAGCTGCCCATCCAGCTCTTGCTGTGATGCCAGGCCATTCAGTACCTCCTTGTTTGCCTCAGGTGCCTTTCAAGTAGCTGCCCCATGCTGGAGCTCTGAGGAGTGAGTCCGAGTTAGTCCATATGTGGACTCTTTATGAGGAACTGCTTGGGACTCCTGCAGCCTCTGTCTCCCTCAGCCTCGTCCCTCACTGTTTTTTTGGGTTTTTTTGTTGTTGTTTTTTTTTAATGTATTTTATTGATTTTTTACAGAGAGGAAGGAAGAGGGACAGAGAGTTAGAAACATCGATGAGAGAGAAACATCGATCAGCTGCCTCCTGCACACTCCCCACTGGGGATGTGCCCGCAACCAAGGTACATGCCCTTGACCGGAATCAAACTTGGGACCCTTGAGTCCGCAGGCCGATGCTCTATCCACTGAGCCAAACTGGTTAGGGCCTCACTGTTTTTTATAAGCAGAAGTTTTGGGGACTTTTCTTCTCAGCACTGGAATCCTATGCTGGGGACTTGGTGTGGAGCAGGGATTCCTTGCTCCTCAGGGGGTACCTGTATAGCCAAGACATCCCCCCTAGTTTTTATCTGCCCCACATGGGTGTGGCACCAATCCCTCCTACCAGTCTGGATGTGGCTTCTTCTTTAATTCCATGGTTCTAGGACTTCCAATGAGCTTGATTTCAGGCAGTTCTGAATGATGGTTGTTCTGTAGTTGAGTTGTAATTTTGATGTGGTTGTGGGAGGAGGCAAGGATACTGCATTTATTTGTACCACCATCTTGTTTGGAATTTCTGGATATTGTATTTTTAAAGTATATATTTTTTTCAATTAGTTTTTTATGATGTGGTTGGAGGAGGCAAGGATACTGCATTTATTTGTACCACCATCTTGTTTGGAATTTCTGGATATTGTATTTTTAAAGTATATATTATTTTCAATTAGTTTTTTACAGGTGGAATAATTCTGCTTGATAACCAGATTCTGACTTGGGAGGGAGTGGCCGGAGTAGGGTGGAGGTTGAAGACATTTGATTTGAGGAAGCCAGGAAGCTTTGAATTAGGGGGTTGGATGGGTTATGTACATGGTTGCTTCTCTCTAAAGATGATGGCAGGCTTTGCAAGGAAGGGAAAGTCTTTGATCTAATTTTCAGGTACTTCAGTGGATGTTGAAAAGGGACAAAGAAGTTGGAGGTTGACAGCAGTGAGGCTATGAGGAAGGTAATTCAGGTGAAGGTGAAGAGTCATGCTATGGATGTGGCCAGGTACCAGGCCAGATGCTGCTTATTTGAGAGATTTTAGGAAAATATGAAGCATGAGCCAAGACAGGCCATTCTGATGGTAAAGCCACTAGAAACAGCTGGTGTGGACAGGGCCTCCGGGAGTCACCAGGGTGGGGCTAACAGTGTTAATCCAGGTTGATGGAGACTCAGATATGGTGGCCACCTGCTGGCTCTTTGGGGGAAGGTTCAGCAAAGTAACAATGGCCTCTACCAGTACTTCTGTCTGGAAGAAAGCTGCCCATCCAGCTCTTGCTGTGATGCCAGACCATTCAGTACCTCCTTGTATGCCTCAGGTGCCTTTCAAGTAGCTGCCCCATGCTGGAGCTCTGAGGAGTGAGTCCGAGTTAGTCCATATGTGGACTCTTTATGAGGAACTGCTTGGGACTCCTGCAGCCTCTGTCTCCCTCAGCCTCGTCCCTCACTGTTTTTTTGGGTTTTTTTGTTGTTGTTTTTTTTTAATGTATTTTATTGATTTTTTACAGAGAGGAAGGAAGAGGGACAGAGAGTTAGAAACATCGATGAGAGAGAAACATCGATCAGCTGCCTCCTGCACACTCCCCACTGGGGATGTGCCCGCAACCAAGGTACATGCCCTTGACCGGAATCAAACTTGGGACCCTTGAGTCCGCAGGCCGATGCTCTATCCACTGAGCCAAACTGGTTAGGGCCTCACTGTTTTTTATAAGCAGAAGTTTTGGGGACTTTTCTTCTCAGCACTGGAATCCTATGCTGGGGACTTGGTGTGGAGCAGGGATTCCTTGCTCCTCAGGGGGTACTTGTATAGCCGAGACATCCCCCTAGTTTTTATCTGCCCCACATGGGTGTGGCACCAATCCCTCCTACCAGTCTGGATGTGGCTTCTTCTTTAATTCCATGGTTCTAGGACTTCCAATGAGCTTGATTTCAGGCAGTTCTGAATGATGGTTGTTCTGTAGTTGAGTTGTAATTTTGATGTGGTTGTGGGAGGAGGCAAGGATACTGCATTTATTTGTACCACCATCTTGTTTGGAATTTCTGGATATTGTATTTTTAAAGTATATATTTTTTTCAATTAGTTTTTTACAGGTGGAATAATTCTGGTTGATAACCAGATTCTGACTTGGGAGGGAGTGGCTAGAGTAGGGTGGAGGTTGAAGACATTTGATTTGAGGAAGCCAGGAAGCTTTGAATTAGGGGGTTGGATGGGTTATGTACATGGTTGCTTCTCTCTAAAGATGATGGCAGGCTTTGCAAGGAAGGGAAAGTCTTTGATCTAGTTTTCAGATACTTCAGTGGATGTTGAAAAGGGACAAAGAAGTTGGAGGTTGACAGCAGTGAGGCTACGAGAAAGGTAATCCAGGTGAAGGTGAAGAGTCATGCTATGGATGTGGCCATTGGGACTGAAGAGGTTGCCAACCCCACCTACCTCACCTCTCAAACCTGAATGCTTGTGTTCTGGTACCTGAAACAACCACCATTTGAGAAGGATAGAAGGAGAAAAGATTACTAGGAGGAAACATTAGTTTTAAGTTGAGATGAGTGGTTGAAGGAAGCCTCTGATAATGAAACTAAAGATACAGAAAAGATCATTGTCATGTGTCAGGAGGACACCATTGTAAGGGCACGGAGCTGCAGGATTTGGGCTCCTGGGATAAGAAAAAAATGCACAGTAAAGATGATGACTGAGGCTGACATGGATAGGAGCATATGTCTCAAATTATCAGGCCCATTGCCTACAGCAGAGAGCATAGGATGCCTCAGTGTCAGTGGCTATATTGTGTTTTTTGAGCTCATACAAAGCCCTATTCTCCTACAGAACAAAATGTACAGTAAAGAGGCTGACACGGATAGGAGTATATGTCTCAAATTATCAGGCCCATTGCCTACAGCAGAGAGCATAGGATGCCTCAGTGTCAATGGCTATATTGTATTTTTTGAGCACATACAAAGCCCTATTCTCCTACCATCCTCCAGCATCTCTGCCCAACTCATACCAGAGCATGTCCTACCCAAAGAATGGTTACAATCCCCATAGGTCCACAATTAACAAGAGCCTGCATTCTCTAGGTCAGCATCTTCCCAGGGATATTTTCTCACCAGGGTTTGTATGGCATGCATATAGGACCAGGAATATTCAGACGACTGGTTGGTAGTTTTAGATCAAAGAAACGCCAGCCTCTCAAGGACGAGTATGATTCTTCCGTTGAAATGTCACGGCAAGGTTCTTCCATCGACATGACCGACTTGGAAACTAACCATACAGGTGAGATGACCCTCGGTTCTCTTTCCTAATCTATGGGAACTGAAGAGCTCATCCTCCGTGTTCTGCTGTCTTGTGGCTTTCTCTACCCAGGACGTGATCGGTTGGAGAAGCGTCGGGGCAGAGGGTAAAATTTCCCAGTCTTTTTGTCAGGGCCAGCCCCGCTTCCATAGTCTACAACACAGGACACTGAAGCCTGCCCCAGTGGAGTTCGGGGTGAGCCCCTCTGCCATGTCTTCAGCTCGCACGCCTTGCCTACTGACAGGGGCCCTCCTCTTGCAGAACCCACCTGCCAGCCTGTTTGGGCCCCAGCTGCATGAATCATTCTCTTACATGTTGGGTTTGAAGACCGACCTTTGTCATGCTTTCTGATGACTTTCTGTCACTACAAGCTGTTCCTTGGTCATTTCATTGCCTTGTGTCACAAGACAATGAGTAGTCAAAGTACATGTTACCTAAAATAGGCTTAAAGGCAACTTCTGTCTAGTCTCTTCCCGTTTTGCAGCAGGGGTTTATGGTGTACAATTGTTTCATCGTTCAGGCATCTTTTCCACTTACTCTCTCTCTATGCATTCTTCTTAGGCTGCTAATACAGAAAGGGCTTCGAGGTCTAAGGTAGATTCAGATCTCTTGTACTACCAGTTACTGTGGGGTTGTAAGAAAATTAGTTAACTTTTTACTTGTTTCAGTTTTTAGAACTATTTTTATTGATTTCAGAGAGGAAGGGAGAGGGAGAGATAGAAACATCCATAATGAGAGAGGATCATGGATCGGCTGCCTCCCGCATACCCCCTACTGGGGATTGAGCTCGAAAACCCAGGCCTGTGCCCTGACAGGAAATTGAACTGGACCTCCTGGTTCATAGGTCAATGGTCAACCACTGAGCCACACCGGCTGGGCAAGGTAACTTTTTAGAGCCTTAGCTTCCTCAGCTGCACTATCATGCACCTCCTCATGAGAACTTCCTTCATGATATCCACGGAGTAGATTCTCAGTGCCCTGTAGTGTTGGTTTCCTGCGTTGTCCTAAAACCTTGTCACTAGCAATATCCCCACAATAATGAGCTTCCTCTCTCATGGAGCCTCTTACTAATGTAGAGAGAAGAAGTTCCCAGCAACTACTATTTGCTGGGAGCCATTTAAGTGCCTTCTGGGTCCTGGATGTTTTTCCTCACGCATCAGGCAATACTGTCTCCCATTTAGAGAAGGCTGCGATTTCTGTGGGTTAAGTAACTATTAGATTTTGAGTGCAGGCAGACCTGAGATTCAAATGCAGATTTTGATATTCAGAACCTTAGATTTTTTTTCTCATTAGAGTAGAACTGTTTTTCTTGCCTACTAATTTCTAAGTTGCACGGAGTATATCATCCCATAGGATAGCTATCCAGATGTGAGATGCTTTCTATGAAAATTCTGTGGTCTTCAATCAGCTTTTATACCATCAGGATTAGACACTAGACCAGGGGTGGGCAAACTTTTTGACTCGAAGGCCACAATGGGTTCTTAAACTGGACCGGAGGGCCGGAACAAAAGCATGGATGGAGTGTTTGTGTGAACTAATATAAATTCAAAGTAAACATCATTACATAAAAGGGTACGGTCTTTTTTTTTTTAGTTTTATTCATTTCAAACGGGCCGGATCCGGCCCATGGGCCGTAGTTTGCCCACGGCTGCCCTAGAGTCTTGCACTGTTAATATAGCCAGATGAAGAGTCTCAATTAAACATATTCAATTATGTCAAGTGTGGGAAGTCATCCACTACTGATACTATCATGAGAGTGCACCAGGGTACGTGGAAGGCTGATGGACCTTGGGCGTTAGCAGGACTAATGACAAGCACCATTGTTTTTGAGGTAGACTGCTAACTGCTTCCTTTATTTATGTCTTCTCTCTTTTGACATTTTTGATCATTAAAATTCAAGCTAAATTTATCTAGATGGTTTTGGTTTTTGTTTTTTAATCCTTACCCAAGGATATTTTCTAATGGATTTTAGAGACAGTGGAAGAGAAAGGGAAAGACAGAGAAAATATCGATATGAGTGAAACACATCTATTGGTTGCCTCTTGCACATGCCCCGGACCAGGGCCCAGGCTAGGGAGGAGCCTGCAACCGAGGTACATGCTCTTGATCAGAAACGAACCTGGGACCTTTTGGTCTGCAGGATGACACTCTATCCACTGAGCCAAACCGGCTAGAGCTGTCTATAATTTTTTTAATATACCTAACCTTTTAAGGGTCGTTGCCACAGGATAGGATAAGACTTTAAATAGCACTATCATGTGAGTTCTTTAGTACCCTATATCTTCCTCTCCTTTCTGAATTTTTAAATGCATCTCTCCTAGTGGCAGCACAACACTGGGGTGGCCTACATTGTCACAGAGAAAATACATGTCTCCTGGGTGAGGACTGAGATGGGGGGCTGTGGTCCTGGGTTTGAGCTTGGGAGATATGCAGGCTGCACTCCCTGTCAAGGTGAGACTCGGGGAAGAAAAAAGGAGTTTGTCTATTTTTGAGAAGTTGGGATCAGTAAAGAGAATTGGATGGATCATGACTCATCTGAGGAAGCAGAATATAGGAGATCATACACTAAGTAAATCTCTAATAAATAGAGGTTGAAGGTATTTCCTGGGTAGGTTAGAACAGAAGGAACAAGGAACTCATGGTCCAGCCAGAAGGAGTTGATGGATGACAAAGGGAACGTAAAAATTCTCTTTTTCTTTGACTGATTCCCTGCCATCCATCTTAGTGATAATAACAGCTGTTCATTGAGCAGTTACACACTGCGCTACACACTTAACTCTCATGATCTTATTTTTTCATCACAACAATGAAAAAAGGTAAGTCCTATTTATGTTGCTGTTTATAGATGAAGAAGCTGAAACCCAGAGAAGTATAATAATGAGTCTAAGTTTACCTAACTGGTTAGTGGCAGAGTGGGGTTCAATTCTAGGACTATCTTTCGAACCCACATTATTGCTACTCTTCTTGATGAGGAAGTTGTCCAGAAATTAGCAAAATCTAAGTTAGGAATGTGAAGTATAAACAGGGATGATGTAATTATTGCAAATGCGTTCAAGTCTGCAGAATTTCAAGGTTGCTTACTAACCAGGATATTGTGAAATATAAGACAAATGCCCAAAGCCTGAAAGGCAGTGTCATTTTGAATTTACAAAATCTGGAAGATGATTCAATAAACTTCAGATACTCTGTAATTACAACAACAATACAGTATCTACTAGTTAGATGTAACTATCAAGCTCTTCAAATATGGCCAATGCAAATGAGGAACTACATTTTTAATTGCCTTGAGATGTGCTATAATTGTGAAATGCATTCTGATTTTAAAAACCAAACTTATTATTCATCAGCAAATTTGAAATATGATTAGTTGAGGGTAAAAGGATTGTCAGGAAACCTTTATGTATTATATAATCTGGGGCTGGAGTCATGGAATTTTGTAAGTACATTTACCTCCAGATGTGACCATTTAAAGAGATATATTTTAGAAATCACTGTGTTTGTTTCTATACTAGGAGAACAAATCCGGGATTTTTACTGCTTTGACAGAAGTCCTCTTAAGAGAGAATGGAAGGAACTGGGAATTTTGATCTGAAACAAGTCTACTCAGAGGCCATGATAGCTGTTTCCAAATTTTAACGCTCACGATACAAAATAATTTATTTTAATCTGTTGTCTCTAAAAACGGGATTTGGGAGCCACGGGTGAAAACTCAACTTTTTCTGGTCTGTGGACGACTTTCTGTTGAGCTGGATGAGCACTATGACCTTGAATCAGAACATTTGGTCTCCAGTCCCAGCTCCATTATGTGCTAGAAGACTCACTTTGGGCAAATCATTTCACTTTTATATGAATCAGTTTTCTCTCTTAAACCATGTGGCTATAGGTAATTCCTCAATATGTTTTTGTTTTGATGAGGGTTCAAATAAAAACACACACATGAAGATGCTTTGGAAAAAATAGAAAGCCACCGTGTGTGTGTGTGTGTGTGTGTGTGTGTGTGTGTGTGTGTGTGTGTTTT